CTATGAACCACACCCCAAGAGCTGGCTCTCTTGCTCCAAGCCCACACCACTGGCAAAGTTCTCAAACTTCCTATCGGGGCAGTATGGGTTTGACCCGTAAGCCCTTAAGTGGGGTAGCCCTGGGCAAATTAGTCTGCTGCCATGCCTCAGTTTCCTCATCTGTGAGATGGGGATAATTACAGGAACACGGGATATGTACCTCCCAGAGTAGTAGTGAGGAATAATGCGGTATTTACTTTCTGCCACCCAGAAAGTACTCAGTAAAGTTTAGTCAAGCATTTTCATCATCTGCATCTCCAACGTTCCTGGCATCACACTCATTTTCTCTGCCTATCCCAACGATCCCTATGCATACTCATCCAAGAAGCCTCCATGAAAGTCCTCCATTTTATAATCCAGGATAGAAGGGACAGTATGATCAAGGATGAGCTGTGAAGCCACTTCAGATGGGTTCCCTGAGAGTCGGCGACAGAAATGGAGGCCAACAGCTCTGACTGTATGTCCCCGGAGCTCCTCAAGGCACATGGTACAGGATCGGAGGGACTAGGGAAGGAGGCCGGGCCAGCATGACTGGTTCCCAGGGTATAAGCCTGGGAACCAGGCTCGAGTCCAGGATTCCTGGAACCCACCTCAGAGCGGGTCCTGTCCCCACTGGCCCCTTCCCTCCTCCCCATCGGCTAACAGCTGGCACTCACCAAGACATAGACCGCCTTCTCACAGGCAGCCCCAACGGGAACCCAGCCGTTAGTGCGGCGGCGGCGGCGGCGGCGTGGGCGTGGGCGCTGGACGCGCGGTTGCTTGGGGTGGCTGGGCCTGCAGGCAGCCTTGCTTCTCGCAGTGTGCCTACAGCTGGAGCCCGTGCGCAGACCTGACTTGGAGCCGCTAGGAGGCTTGGCACTCTGAGGGCACGCACGGGCTACCGTCTGGGGCTCCGAGGTGGGTGTCTGAAGATGAGGGACGGGCTCCGCTGCAGGTGGCACACTGGGCACAGGGCATCCCAGGAGGGGGTGGGCAGGTGAGGCAGGGTGGCCGGCTTCCGGGAGAGGAAATTCCAGCTGGCCTAGGGACCTGCAGCCTTCTGGGGAAAAGAAGAGAGGGGTTAGGACAGGTAAGGACAAGCAGTAACAATCCCTCTGGCCCCCCTGCTTTCAGAGCCTACTGTCTTAATTCGGAGTGTGTACCCAAGGGTCCCTGAGGTGCAAGTGGAGTCAGGGGCCTCTGAGGTAGACTGTCAGAGTGACTGGCCAAGGGTGCTTCTTGACCTTGGAGACCGGCCCACAGCTATCTCCCCCTTCTAGCCTGCAAGAAGGGCAGGTAATGGGAACAGAGTCTCTAGCTCTGACTTATTCTCCTCCGGGGCTTCCACAGTGCTAAGGAGCAGGGGAGTGGGTGTCAGCCCAGGATGTCAACCCCAGACCTGCCACTCACCGACTGTATGACCGCAGGCAAGTCATGCTACCTCTCAGTGCCTTGCAATAGAAGCAGGAATGGCAAATATCATATAGAGTGTCCCAGGCGTTTTTCTTATCAACGTATTAACTCATCTCATCCTTACATCCTTACATCAACCCTAGGAGGTAAGTACCACTGCCACCATTCTAAATTAAGGAAACCGAGACACAAGCAGTTACTGGCTTGTCCCACGGTCACGTGTCTAAGGAAGTGGGGGAGAACATTTCACTCTAGGCAGTCTGGCTCCAGAATCTGTACTCAATTACATGCCATGTGGCCTCCCGTATGTAAAGTGCTTGGAACAATACCTGGCACGTGGTGCTTACTGGTGTTCCAGGGTAAGGGGGTAGGGTCTTGGGTCCCATGGTTTAGGGGTCTAGATTTGGGAGAATGGTACAAAAAAGAAGGAAAAGCCCAAGAAGCAGCCTGATCTCATTTCTTAGTGCTCCAACTCACACCAAAACCTGAAACAACCAGTCGGGCCAGAGTCAACTGGTCTATAAAGTTGTTTTATAGACCCCCTACAAGATGGGGTGTGGGGTAGTAGCAACGAGAGCCCTGGTAAGGCCCAGCCTCTCATTTCATCAGCAGCAGGGTAGACTCGCTAGACAGGATGGCTCTGGTCACCTCATTTCCACCTAGGAGCCAGGGACAGAGCCTGGAGAAGCATGTGAGGACACGCCTGCCAGTCTGGGGTAAGAGTGATCACCGTGGGGGTGTCTCATTGGCTACAGCGCAAGCCTCCCTGGTGTCTGGGCCTTGCTAGGAAGGCAGACACCAAAGCCACGGACCCTGTCAGCACTCTGTCTGTGCCAGGGAACTCTGCTGGTCTATTCTCGGAGTGTGCCCCCTGTTAGCCCCCAGCAAGGCGATGCCAAGTCTGGGCACTACCTCTCTCTCAAGGCCTGTATGGCCAGGGCAAAGCAATCCAGCTGCGTCTGGCACCACCTATTGGGCCTGGTTACCCACCCTCCTTCCCATGAATGCTGAACTAGGCCAGCATGCAGATGGAATGGGCTCCTGGAAAGTAGAATTCTAGCTCTCCTCGAGGAAGGCAAAGGGACATAGGAACAACTTGGCAAAAGCACTAATTTCAATACCTAATTTGCTATTCAAGAGTCTGAGAATGGGTATCCTAATGGGGAGGAAGGGATGGCTCTCCCTGCCCCCTCCACCACCATGGTGCTACCTAACTACCTGGCCAAGAGATCTCCATACACAGGGGAGCCAGAGCAAAGAGCTAGACACAGGCCCCTTTTCTGGGAATACTCCTTGGCTTGGGGCATGAAACTAGGGGAGTCTTCCTTTTCCAAAGCCCCCTACCACCCATGTTGTAACTAGACCTCAAGGAACCCCACCCAATCCTTGGCCCACCCTCCCAGGACACTATCTGACTCCCTGGGACATCCCACACCTAAGAAGGCTTACCTGCTGCAAAAGGCATTTTGTAGGGGCAGCCGCCACAGGTGGTGCCAATATGGGTAAGAGACGGGGGCAACATTTCACAGATGCTGTAGCCATTCACTCCAGTATCCTCGCTAAAGCAGTAGCGAGAGCCCCAGGGAGGGTGTTGGAAAGGGGTGCCTGCGGGCACTGAGCTCGGTGCCAAGAGGAGCCCCTCGTTAGGTGCAGCCACTGGGGACAACTTGCCCTCAGGAAGCATGGGGCAGGGGGAGTAGCCTCCATACTGCAGCCCATCTTGGCGGCAGTACAGGTAGAAGCTGCCTAGTGCAGGGAGCTCAGGCCTACCACACAGGCCACTGTAGTGGGCAGGGTTGCCAGGCATCGGCAGGGGGGACAGCTGGGGTGCAGGGAAAGAAGGCTGGTGCAGTTCCTGCTTGGGGGCAGGTGACTCCTCGCCTGGGCGCCCAGGCTCCGGCTTCAAGGCTGCCTGCCCACCCATCAGCAGGGGCAGGTGGGGGCGCAGCCCCAAGGGGCTCTCCAGAGCCTTGCTCAGGGGCTGGTAAGGTGGCTGGCTGGCTGGCCCACGAGGGGTGGCAGATGGCCATGGCTCCTCGGGGTGCTTTTGCCAGCCGGGTGGACCTACGGCCTCCCCAGAGCCAAGCCCCTGCCGGGCCTTGGGATAGTTCTTGCCATTGACTTTAGCCCACTTTGGCCTCGGAACCCTCAGTGCTGGTGGCTCTGTGGAGCGCCCATCTGCTTCTGGGTGGGCACGAGGAGGCCTCAAGGGTAGCTCCCGCTCCTGGCTCAGCTTTAGGAAGGCAGCTGCATTCAGGCTGGCCAATCTCTTGGGAGCTGGGTCACCATCTCGACGAGCACCCTCCTCAGGTGCTGGCTCTGGGGACAGGTCCCGACTTCCCCCTCCGAGGTCCTCTAGCCGGGGCCGCTTCTTGGAAGAGGACCAGCCCCCACTGGCCCGGTCACGGTCCCGACTGCGGTGAGGGTCTCCCCCTCGACTGCGACGAGTGCCGGCCAGGCTGCTGGCATCCTCCCGCTCCAGCAGCAGGTTATTGAGGGCCTCCGCATTGAGGGAGGCTAGGCGCCTCTTGCGGGGCTGGGCAAGGGCAGTGTCCTCACTGGATGGGGCTGGGCTGGGGGGCTTGGGCAGGTCAGGGGGCAGCTCATCAGCCTCATCTGCACTCCGTGGACCAGCCACATTCTCCAGGCGGGTCAACAGCACTTTGCAGGCCTTAGGCTTCTCAGGAACTAATGGGCGCTTACGAAGTGGGTAGTTCTTGCGGCGCCCTGTGAGGTGCCCTGGGCTCTCGGGCATGCCTGCTTCCACACTCTCCGCCCCCTGCTCCATATTGCTGCCTTCCATCTGCAGGGGCTCCCGGCGGCCAGTGGGGCCCGAACTCAGCATGGGAAGGGACTTCCTCCGCGTGTGTGTCATGGAGTACTTTCGATCTGCAGGGCAGAAGGCAGGCAATGAGAGAAGCCCACCTCGCCCTGCCCTGTCTGCCTCTCCTCTGCTGCAGCCCATCCAGCGCCACCCCCCGCCCCCAACCTTCCGTCATTCTGGCCTACACTCATCCCATCTACAGCCTGGCTTTTCCCAAGACCCCTCTTCCGGGGTGGGGGGGGGGTCCAGTGGGATCAGGCTACCAACAGCTGTGCAAGGACTGGCTGCCCCACTCTTCTCTTAACCTAGGGTCCTTCTTTGAACTAAGCCCCTATGGAAGGATGCAGACCCTGGGATGAGAAGACAGAAAGTGCTGGGGGCAAAGTTCTCAGTCTATCTATTCTTCTTCCACTAGATACTCACTGCAGGTCAAGAAGAGGCTGTGAAGATGCCAAGCCAGGATGGGGGCTTGGATGGTGGGAGCCCATCTGTTCCTTTAAAAACATCACCAACCCTTCCCCCATCCTGGGGCTTCTGCGATTGGCCACAGGAGGATAAGGACATGGACAGTGGGGAGCTAAGGTGAGGAAGCTGCCTGCTGGACTGTGGAGGTAGCAAAGTCCAGCCTGTGGGGACACCCTGCCGGGCACATACAGCAGGAAAGCCATAACCTGCATTTTGCTGGAAAAGCCCCCTGAAGGGGAAGGCCTGGCCTTGAGGAGTCCAGGGGAGGTCTGGGCCAGCCCTAGAAGCCAGACCCACCATGGTTCAGATTCTAGGGAAGGGCAGCCCAAACAGTGCCTGTGCCCAGAGAAGGGATGTCCATAAGGCAAGGGCCAGAATCCCTGGGTAGGAAACTCACGGAACACAAACTAGGCCTGTGGTATAGCTTTAAACCCTCACCAGCCACTAAGAGGGAAATGAAGTATCAAAGGAAAGAACTAACTCAGGGGATAAAACGGGCTGCCTTGCTAGTCCTGCCCTATTTCTCAGGTCTCCTTCCTGGTAGGCAAGAAGCTGGGCAGAGAAGAGGACTGGGGGTGCGGTGGAGTGGAGTGGGGGTAGCGGCAGAAAGCCCAAAGCCCCAGAGAGAAGATGCCCACTTGACCAGGCATCATCCCCTAACTTTACTTGGCAAATACTCCCCTTGCCCCCAACATACCTGGGGCAGCCTGGGCCCCCTCCTGAATGAGAGGCCAGAGCTGGGCTGTATCCTGGAAGCTGGCATGGCCAAGGCAATGGAGAACTGGCGGGTGGGGGGTGGGGGTGTCAGAGTCAGTGGTCAGAGACTAGTGAGCTGTTCACTCCTTACCTACTCCCCAAAGCAAAGCAAGGTGCTGCCAAATAAGGTGTCAGACAAGGCTCTGCCCTCTCTGGCACCCTGCAACCCCCTCCCCACCCAGCAAGCCCAGGCTTTCCAGCTTAATTTCCCCACTGCTATTGTTATTCATACTCACTCTCCCCAGAAGCTGGGAGCAGTCCCTGCTGGGCCAGGATTTAACCCTGAAAGTCCCAAGCCTGACAGCTCCCAGGAATTCCTGAGCCCTTCCCAGCCAGCTCCTTTGGCCTTGGATCAGCGGCTGGGGTCACTGGGTACCTTTTCTCCTGACACATACTGCACTAGTTGAGAAAGGGTGCTCAGAAAACGAGGCTGAGGGCACCGTGGGTGTCCCTCGCCCTCAAGAAAGGACTCGGAAAACTGGAAAAGGGAGGCACTGTGCCAGGCATTGCTCTGGCCACGTGCGGGGACCTGCCACTGCCCAGAGACCAGGCCGGGACAAGGCAGAGTCACAGGAGACAAATCCATTCCTTCCTGAAGCACAGACAGGAGAGCTCCTTAAAAAATCCCAGGCATCTGCTAGGCTGCCTAAGACTTTTTCCTGCTTCTAATCAGGGTGACCACCCATCCCTGTTTGCTCAGCAGGCTTATTAGCAATGCCTCCTTTTACTCTCAAAAGCATCCCAATTGCTTAAGATCCACAGGCCCTTTTCTCAAATGCAGGGCACCCCTGTGCTGGAGGAGGCGCAGCAACAAGAAGCACATCTGTATTTCCTACGAAAGCCTAGGCCCAGCCCTTCCCCACCCCCAAAGGGCCTGGAGACAGGATTTGTGAACAGACCGCATAGCTGAGCAAGAACCGAAGCCCCTCAACAGGCCCCAAGTTACCAGAGGAGTCCGGCCTGGGAATGGCTGGGGGCCAAGGCTGAGGTCACCTGGGCTTGTGGCCTTTAAGGACATGGACACCAAGTACAAAGCAAGTACAGGGCCAGATGGAAAAGAGAGGGTGCTCAGGGAGGTGCTTTCAAGCCTGGCAAACAAAAGAGCTCTTAGCTGAGAGGTGACTGGCCTGTCCCTTATTCCCCCCCATCCGCCCCCAGTTTGCTGGTGGACCAGCTGCAAGAGTGGACTCTGGGATACTTGCCTCCCTTCTCAACACGCAAAAGGTCCCAGCAGGTGAAGGTTGGGAGGGAGCCTTCCACTGTAGGGAGACTGGCCCCAGAACTTGGGGTTGCATTCCCTGTAGTATCGTACCCACTGTCCCCTGATCCCAGGAAGCCTCTAAATCACAGGATGCAAGTCACGTTTCCAAATCAAACATAAGAGCCTACTGCTGGCTTCCCTTGAATCCACCAAATCCCTCATCACCAGCAAAAGAACTCCTAGCTTTCGTGTGGTGCCTAAGGCAGCAATGTCACTCACTGTTCGAGGAGAGGCTGGGGTCTCTGCTGCCTCCCTCGCTGCCCTCCAGTCTGAGGAGAATGAGAGAATGAGTCATGCTTTGAAGCCCGACTTGTGAGAACTTCGGCTGCAGCTCTTCCCTGGGGTGGGGCTGGGTGGAGGGGGCTCCCAGCCTGCCAGGCCCCTCTAACCTGCAGGGGTGGCCCAGCTCAAAGGGGGAAGAAAATCCTGGGAAAGCAGGAGGTGTGGCTCCCATTCCAGCTCTGCCAATGCTCCTGCTGTCCTGTCCTTACACACTAGCTCAACCAGAAACTTCCTACCACTGCAAAGAGACAAGGGTGCCTGGGTTGTCTCAGCACCACCCTTCTCTTTGGGAAGCCTTGTCCTCCCAGGCATACATGGTCTGGGCCCCCTTGAGAGAAGGTTCTTAGGAGGGACTCCCCAGGACACATTACTGCTCACCTAGACTGTGTCAAGCTAGCTCACACTGAAGAAGACCAGTCTGATCGTCCCTAGCCTGATCGGCCAACAGCCAGCTGCCATGAAGGACAGTGGCTGGCCGGTGTCCTCCATACCAAAGATCCAGCAAACCACAGGTTGAATCTAAAATCACAAGTGTATTCTAAAGACAGCAAACAGGCCATCACAGCCCCAGGCACTTTGGGTCACAAAACTAAGCTGAAGTGTCCATATCCTGTACCCCATGTCTGCTCAGGACTAGAAGTCAACTCTACAAAAGTAAAAAGGGAAGGAAGACTTGAGTCTTGCCCGCAAACTGCAGAAGCATCATGCACCACCCTCCGCTCTCACACAGGCAGAGCACACCCAAAGTGCCGTGTGCAAGGGAGGGTCAGAGGCCTGGAGGAATGTGGGCTGTGGGCACTGCTGAAGGGAAAACCAGTGTGTCAAGTCCAGATCACTCCTGCAAACGGAGGCTGCCCTTGGGCTCTCAGCTTTGGCTGCAGCTCTCCCCCCACCCTTACTTACCCAGCTTCTAGAGTATACACCCACCCCCATTCTTAGAGGTTCAGGACCCAGGACTCTGCCCCACTACCCTTCCTGAAATCTCTGCATTTTAAATTCTACTTTTCAGGCTTTTTGCTTTATTTTTAATAGGAGGAAAGTATGCAGGGGGGTCTTAGGCAAAGGCAGACTAGCTGGTCACCTGGGTGAGGGTTCCTGACCCAAGCCACCTCCCAATTCCGATTACACCTAAAGCTACACGGTTGGCACTGAATTAAGCACTTCCTTCCTTTGCGCTCTCTCGGAATAATTTCCACACTCCCCCAAAGGAATAACAGTTTTTCATGAGCACTGACTTTCCTGAATCTTCTATCAGAGAAGAAAAGCAGCAAGAGCACAAAGGCACGCTCCTGTTGATTGAAATTTAGTTGGTGTTACTTCACGGGAAAACAGGTGAAGCTGCTGAAATTCTTATGATGAAGCCAGGTTAAGTCGAGTCTGGGGTCCCTCCAATCCCCCATGGCTGGTAAACTGGAAAGAACCAAACCTTCAAGCGAGGTGGACCTGGATTCGAATGTCAGCTCTGTCCCTGGTTAGCAACTTATTTAACTTCTCTGAACCTGATTTGTTCATCTAAAATGGATAAATCAAAAGGAATTTTAAGAATGGTGGTGAGGATGACACTAGTCTCTGTGCAGAAGCCTAGTAGGGTAGGAAGCAGGCAGACCAACTTCTCCCCCACCCTCCAGACCCACAGAGGAAGGCAGTGGCTCTTGGCTTGGGGGGCAGGTTCCCCACATCAGGAGCCCAGAGCTGTTGGGGCTGAGAGAGATCTGAAAACCTAGCCTACACCTGAACTCTGCTCTGCTTCTATTCTGCCAAAGACACCCAAGTGTCAACCCCAGGTAAAGATGGAGAGGCTATGGCGGGACTTCTGGGTGTGGGGTTCCATCTACCACACAGGGAGAGGACAGGGGCAGAAACTGTATCCCAACAAACCCTAAACAACAGCTCCGTGCCTCTGGGAAACACTCAACTGGATGGTGAAAAGCCCAGGGGATGGGGTCAGGGGGGCGTGCGTTTGCCAGCTTCCGCCATCTGACTGCTGCTTCAGCACGGACACCCACAGACAGCAGAAGTGCCCGAGTCCCCGGGATGCTGCCCTGGAAGAGGAACCAGTGGCCTCGGCCACCACCGGCTCCAACTCTCCAGTGCCTGTTTAGCTTCACCTGCTGTGGGCACCCAATTCACTCTGCAGTCAAGCTGATATCCTACAACCCTGGGCAGGAAGCACCCACCCCACCAGAGGGAATTGGCCTGACCCATCTGGCCATAGCTTGTTTTATAGACTGCCTTCAGGTCTAGTGGTCTAGTGGCCAGACCACCTGCTCCTCATACTTCACTGTGG